AATTCTTCATTTCCTTGTCAAATCTATTGTGTTGCCGTACGGCCCTACCTTTCGTCCTGACTCGTGGTGTTGCTCAACAACACAATTTCGTGAACAATGAGGCGACAGAATTATCTCGAATATTAAGAATATCGTGATATTACTTATGATAACGCTCACTTCGAGCAAAGAACTTCCGGAAGTATATTTTTCTCCTGAAGTTGAGAAGGCTCTGAAGATCCTTGTTGCCTTTACCTTGTGAGATTTGTACAGTTGAAAGGTTATTTAGTAGCCTCAGGAGAATCAAAACCTAGTTGAGGAGCACCATGTATGATGCTCGACTCAATGGCCTCGCAATGATGAGTATACACAGGCAACATATTTTCAAAAACTTGAACGATTTCGTCAAAAAGTGACCAACGAATTCCCAAAGAACCCTAGAAGATTATTTTTCAACTGATTTACTGTTTAGATTTTTTTCTGATTCTTGATTTTCTCATTAAACTCTTTCTATTTGATTCCTATTCCTTGATGCAAACCCATGTATAGGACGACAATCTCGACGACACGACAGTTACGAATACTTCCCCTCTTGAATTCAATTAATTATTTAAAATCTGAATCTGAATTCAAAAATGAAATGGAAACTTTTTCAAACAAATGAAAAAATCTTCTGTTTCCCCTTCAGTGCTTTCGTAGATCTGAGTGCTTCAGTTATTACCAGGATTGATGAAATGATAAAGGTGAGTTTTTTCGAGGTATATCGACTGAAATTCAAATATTTTACATTCAACATCTCCCTCTTTTTGATACCATAAAACTCTAAAATTGTCAAATATGTTTCAAAGCTTCTCCATAGATTGTGATCCAAAAACTTATTGTGAGCAAAAATGTCCAGACTCCAGATTATGAAATTATTTGAATGATTTTACTGATAATAGTTTGTTTAGAAACTCTGTTGTCAAGCACCAATATATGAACTGAAATCGAAACTTTTCCTGTGAAAAGGAAATAGTATCATCATTGAGAACTTATACCTATAGTTATCCTCAACATGATGTAGTAATATTCAAACATGTCCTCTATACGCAGGGTGTTACGACATTCAACCAACAATGCTTGACAGGTTCTGAAAATTTACGAGATATCATCAGTGGCGTAGACAATATGGGAGGACAAGTAAAAACTCCCAGATATTGAAATGACTATTCCACTCATCTTAAAATTCTCACATCATGATCTGAACAATCGCAAGCCAAAGACAACTTGTATTATCTCGGATATACTAGCTGTCTCTCAATTCTGATTGGTCTATCAGCGTTGGTGTTTCCTACGATTCACCATGGATGGCAAAGAAAAGTCTGTCGATTTGACATGAAATAATTATAGCTGTATATGTCAGAATGACTCGCATTGGTTATATATGGCTTGTTCATTCATAATAGATGCTTCTAATGCTTCGTGAAACATTCTAGCAAAATACGACTCTATTCTGAATATCTCCTCATAATCTTGTAGCTTCATTTTCGCGAAATTTCGTTGCCGAACAACACACCACGAGTTCGTCAGTCGTGTTGATGGTTCAAAAGTTATACATTTTTTTCATTTCTATAAAAAAAATGATTACAATAAAACTATATCTTATTTGTGAATTTTCCATTCACGAATTTTATGTCATGTCGTGTTACTTCTTATCAATTACCTGAGAAAAGTGTTGTTTAGTCATCGAATGAAATATTTAAGTTATTGAATGCCGCTGGTGGATGCAAAAACTACCGCACAAAGATAACGAATTATATGAAATACCGAAATAATATTACATAGGGGGTTATTTGAAGAAACCTTTTTGTTATCAATTCTTCTCAAATGGGTCGCGTTTCTCAGAAAATTTGAATAACTTTTGAACCATCAACAATTGATAACCACATATTATACCGTTGGTTTGATTGCAAATGACCCTTTTTCCCTCCCACTACCATTCCATTTATTTTGATCCATTGGTTATTGAACACCCTGTATAAACTTGTACCAAATTTCAGAAAAAAATCGTTTACGAATGCATTAGTTTCAGAGGTGGCCCGATACCCCGCGTCATCCGGTATATCTGTAAAAATATTTCATTCCTGGATAAAACGATTCCAGGAAAAGTCTGTAAATGTCCTAGATCCCGATTGTTAAACCTTCTAGACACCGATTTCACATCAAGCAGGTACACGACCCTACTCTCTGGGAATTCCATCGCGTACGAACGCCCTTTTCCTTAAGGGTGACGTGACGCTACCCAAGAGTCGATTTCTATTTAAAAGAGGCAAATTCTCTTTCCATCGTCGTCGAAGCGGAACGACGGACGAATCGGGAGTTCATTGGAAATCCTGCCGTTAGCTGTCGTTCTAATCAAAACCTAATAACTTCGCAGCGATGATAAAATCGGATCATTTGCAATGTTCGGCTGTTAAACGGTTTCGCCTTGGCACGTGACAATGTGACAGTGTTAATCTTGATTGAACAATATTCGTTCGCCTTCGTAGTACGATTGGAGTTCATCTGAGGCGCGAATTGCTAGTCCTCTTATCATGGAGAAGCGTAACTGTATTGCCTCTCCGTGTTGTGCACATTTTGGTCAGGAAACCTCCATCTTTCATCGCTTCCTCCCTTGCATGAGTCACTTGGAGCCCTCTCTGGAGTAGTGATGATGAAATCGGATCATTTGCAGTGTTCGGTTGTTATATGGTTTAGCCTTGGCACGTGACAATGTCACAGTGTTAATCTTGATCAAACATAATTCGTCAGTCTTCGTAGTACGAATGGAGAACATCTGAGGCGTGAATTGCTAGTGCTGTTATCATAGAAAATCGTAACTGCATTGCCTCCCGGGGTTGTAATTGCACTTACTATTGATCAGGAAACCTCCATCGTCCTTCGCTTTCTCCTTCTGGTCTCCAAACCTTGCATGCGTCACTTCGGAGCCATTTTTGAAATAGCGATGATAAAATCGGATCATTTTGCAGTATTTCAAGGTTTCGCCTCGGCACGTGACAATGTGACAACGTTAATCTTGATTGAACAAGATTCGTTCGCCTCCGTAGTACGATTGGAGTTCATCTGAGGCGCAAGCTGGTAGTCGTCTTATCATGGAAAAGCGTAACTGCATTGCCTTCCCGTGTTGTGCACATTCTGGTCAGGAAACCGTTGTTGCTCATTTCATGAACATTGTGTGGAAATGACTTTGAGCTTTTTGTAATTTTTTTTTGATTGGACAAGATTCGCCCGTCTAAGTACGAATGGAGATCATCGGAAACGTGAATCGTCTAGTCCGCCTATCACGGAGAAGAAAAACTACTTCACTTCTTGGGTTGGAATTGCAATCAATTTTCTTGAGGAAATCATTTATCATCGGTTTAAGTCACTTGGACTGGTTGACGTTTTCATTGCACAGTCATTCAATGACCCCACTGATGAATGAGAGAGTTTGTCAATGTTTTCCAGAGCCAGAGCTCAGTTTCCTAGGAGTAGATATTCACATTTACTCGAATGATATATCTATACTCTGAATTTCCATCTACTTCATTTGGGCTACAGACGGCTAAGAAACTTTTATCTGCTTGAACTCTAGTTTCTCTCTACATGCGCAGTCTAGAACTGATGCTGGAGCAGATCGCTTAGAGCCTTTCAGCAGACGAGCTCGCTGAAATCGGATCGACGACAAATTTTTGAGTACTGAAGCCTGTACTGGACTTTGGGAGAAGCCAAGTTTCGTTCTCCCTCAACGAATGGGCGCACAGAGCACTAGATGGATATCGGAGGCATATAGACGGTTGCAGGCAATCAAAGATCCTGGAGGCCGGTCCAAGCAAGTCGAAGACTGGTGATTACTCAGCATAGACCGCCAAGTACTGCGCCTCCTCATATTGGTAATAACATAACACAATAACCTATCACTCATATGTGTAGAAAATAGCCTCACTTGTCGTGAATGCGAAAAAGATGACCACTATACTTATACGAGGTGATAATAGTAACCCACTGTGAATCGTGGAATATCGTATCGAAGTTCTCTTTTCGCAAATAGGTATTGGATTAGTGGATGATTTGACGAATAATATAAATACCGATACAAAGTAAAAATACTTATTTGCCTTCAGTTAGGTCTGGCTGTTATTAGCAATACACAGATCATCATCCAGGTTCTCTACGGAGATTAAAATTCCCGGCGATGAGGTTCGTTCGATATTTTCCAACCCTTGCAATTTGTGCAGTGAAGAAGTGTTCGTAATATGCTATGCTGAGGGTATGTTGTCTGGTATCTGCAGGAAGTAGAGTATCTGGTTAGGGCGAGGGTATGATAGTGCACGTAGAGAGGTCATTAAAAACCATCATGTTTTGAATCCGTGTGTTCCTCGAGGGTCATTCCGGGGGGCCAATTTCCGAAAATGGGTGTTGCGAAGATATGCAGCATGCGTCAGTTACACGACTAGATCATTTTGAGCTTGAAATGCAGGGGAGTGAATGCATACCCATTGTATATTTTGACAATGCATTAATAGTATCACATCATTGAAACTAATATCATGAGACAAAAATAATACTCTGATTATCTCCAGAATCAGATTGATGAAATACATCATCACCTACATATACCGGGTCTCGATAAATCGCAAATCTGCATACCACGGTATGACTCATTGAAATTAATGAGAAGTCAATAAGCGAATCATTTCAAGGTTGACAATGACAGGATGTGAGCTGACTGGGCCTGTCGAGTTGGCCTGACTTATTTTGCTCGTGATAGAATGATAGCAGATAATTCTGAAGAACATTCCTCTAGTGGGAGCATCTATAGAAAAGTGAAATGTCGCCGACTTTCCTACGGTGTACTGACGAGGTCAAAGGACTAGTGAGTGTGACATCATCCACCAGAGTGAAGTGTGAAGTTGAAGACTCAATTCGAGTAGCTCCATGAAATACACGAGTGAAAACAAATACTACATGTATTTCAAAAGCCTCCCTGCGGATATTTCCAGAGACATTCGATCGATTTGGCCCTAAGCACCTACATCTTAGGACCCAAACCAAAATTCACTGGTCTTTCAAGACTGATTGGACTACTAACGCGAATCGTTAGTGCACTTATCACGGAAGGACAAAACTGCATCACCATTTTGGACTGGAATTGCCCTTTATATTGGACAGGAAACCTCCATCTTCCGTTGGTTCTAGTTAAGGACCAGATCCCTTCCCCAGGATTCCAAACCAAGAATTCGTCACTTGGGATTTCACAGACACTCCATGAAGTTACTGATAATAAAAATAGAAACAAACAGCCTACATGTATTTCAACAGCCTCCCTGAGGATATTTCCAGAGACATTCAATAGATTTGGCCCTAAGCACCTACATCTCAGGACCCAAATCAAAATTCACTGGTCTTTCAAGACTGATTGGACTACTTACAGATCTGGAACTGAATCTTAGAAGTTTGTAGGCGCGTCATAAAATTCCATCTGGCTGACCAAATTTTCCATGTGGAGTAACCACTCCGTTAGAATCTTTTGTCCATGCATAGATGTAATGTTTCGTATCATGTTGTTCTTCTTTGTCTACGTCTCTTTCAAGCGTCATCGCAGGTGGCCTGCAGAGACGATACAGCAGAGCGAGCATGAGACCGGCAAATTGCGCATTTACTTTTAGGCCACTTGGTCGAAGCCATAAAAACTGGAAATTACTCTGGACGGAGGCCTGGAAAGTGTCACCGACGACGTTCGCCGAGAAATGGACTTCTATTATTCATCGAGACCGATCTTAAAACGACAAATTACGGTCAGCGGCACTTGGGAGTTTGATGGAACTTGAAGGAGTTTTTTTTTATAGAGGGTTATCCTACACAATTGCAACATGCTTCTACTCCTGCAAGTAAAAGTATAGCACAATATATAGCATTTTCCCCACTAAGAGAAAGAAATTCTCTATAATTTTGTTGCATTGGAATAAATCACTGGAGTACTAAATCTCAACGAGATCACCACTATGAAATTAATATCTGTAATTCAAACGAGAGTAATTTCAATTGGATAAGGATAGGGAATTCAACTCCTGGAAAAACCTAATAGAAGCGAAGACAGTTACAAAATCTTTTCGCATATATTGTGATGAAAACTCCGTGATTTTCTTCTCATCAACTTCAATGTAATTCTATTTTGAGCACTATTACCATCTGGGACCCATCAGGGTCATTCCAGGGTATCAAACAGTAGTTTGTATTCTGAAGGGCAGACCAAAGTTGGCTATACACTATGGTCACTATCTTCTGATTCAACCTTGTCGCCTAGAACTTGTGGTGAATCTGGAGTGCCGTCTTGTGTTAGAAGAGATTGAACTAAATGGCATATTTTATGTGCATATTTCCTGCAGTTAGATGAAGGTAGTTCACATCTTCCAATAATTCAGTAGGTATTTTGAGTGAAGATAATAAACAAAGTTGTTTGGGACAACCGAGGTGACAACAAACAAATTGATCATTTACGATTTTTCATTCTTCAAGCGACTTTCTCCTCCAACTACATCTGACTTTAGGCAATATTCCACATCCAGAATTTCAGTACTACATTCTGAATAATGATGACTGATGAGACGGATGAGGAGTATTTTCACTGATTCAAGTCTCTTCTCATACAATCTTATATTTTTGCTAATGGGAGGAACCTTATTCAACCTACAAGTGATTTGTCGATATGTCACGTTGTTACTGTCTCATCTGAGAAATATCCTCAGTTTGTTTCATTACTTGCGGATGACAGACGATGGAAGTATTCCCAAGAACTTGTAGCCTCCAGAAGTCCAACACCTATCTCCTCTTCCTATCCTCCCTGGGTATGCACGATGTTCCACGAACATTGTTGGTATTTCCTTCCGTGCGCTCCGAGAGATGAAATCTTTCATTCGAATCAAGAAACCAGACAAAAATTATGGGAATACTGGGTCACTGAAAAGAATAGGGTTTATTCGACAACAAAGCACATATCCTGATCGCGATATTCACCAACTATATCCCTAGTGTCCCTTCTTCGACGTCACTGTAAACAATTCCTGATAACAAGGATAAATCTTGAGGAAACTGACATAACTGTTCGGCTGAACATACACACACGAGTTATTTCAATTTAGCTGCTACGTAGATTCCTTGGCTGGAATTCCGACGTCTCAAGGAACGGTTGCTCTGAAGGCGTTACGTTTGTCAGAGTTAGTTTCACGGATTTTCAATTATGCAGAAAGTGTGTCTGACACGAGCGGTTTGGGAGTCATCCGTCAGTCGATCATGTGTCAAAAGTGAGAGCAACCTGGGGGATTCCGCTCTTGCTCTATTCTTCACTTGACAAAAAGTTGACGTCGACTGACTCCACTGCCAGCGTTTGAGGTATTCACTCACATGAATAGCATAGTTTTTGCTCATTTGAGACCAATATTCTCCCCTGAAAGTCAACTATTCTTTAGGCTCTCTAAATGAAACATAATGATTGTAAATCTGAAGCTCACGATCTGGAATTCTATGAAACCAATTAATCCACGTAATTCAACACACCATTTCAGGACACAGCTGATCTTGATATCATGAAAATATAACTATCTGGTGCTGTCTGTAACTAGGAATATGCAGTAACCCAGACAGCACAAAGTGATTCTACTTGATTCTATTCACATTTCGCTACGTTCTGTCACAAAATCATTTTAACGAAAACTCCATCTTATGTTAATGTGAAATTGAGATTTCGCGGGCACCCCCATAATTCGTGCACCAGTATTATATTTATATTCATATTTCTTCACACCATACAAAGAGATTTGAATCTTCCTTCGCCTACGGAGCTCCTCATGTTTATGATAATTCAGATGACTATCTGAAGAGAATGTCAGTAAGTTAATTCACGACAAATCCTGAAAAAAATCCTTCTAGCACAACAATTGATCATCAATTTATGATGAAAAATCAAATAACTCAATGAATATATCCCTCCTCTAACCAAACAGAATATCCTTAACTCATGATCATAATATATCTATCTCTCACATTTATCAAGAATTTTTTTCCGCTATTTTTTTTTCTTTTCAATACAAATTGTATTGTTCTACTGATGTTCTATGCTACATTGATATCTATTTTCATCATATTAGTTATGTTAGGTCATAAAGTGTAAAAATAGTTTTATACTAAACTTTCGCCTATAATAAAGATCTTTTATTATTATCACTAATATAATTATTATCATTATTATTCTGAGAATGTTCTTACAGAATATTCTCGTGGAACATTTCGAATATTCTAAGAATGTTACACAATGTGCACACAACGTTCTGATATTAGATTCAAGTTCTCATAATATTCTTCAGAACATTGTCAGAACATTCTTTATGAATATATTGAACATCCTTAGAATGACCTAGGAGTATTCTCAGTATACTGGGTATGTTCCAAAAGAGACCATTAGGGTGATATTTATTTTCACACACTTTGGAAAAACATCACCCAAAACTTTTACAGAGATCAAACATAATACAGATACCTTCATACACGGATCATGGATGCTTCACGAATATCTCAGTTGATATCTTCTCTGGGTTCCGAGAAATTCCAGAGTGAAGAATGAATATGGTGAACAAACCCTTCCAAAAAAAAAATCGAACACCCTGTGAAGGACGATAACCCTTCTCTGAAGCTGATGTGAAAAATCTACAAACGATGAAATATCCACAAAATCATCAAAAATACGACATATTTTGCTAAGATAGTAGCTCCTTCATTTAAAATACTCCTTCAAACAACGATTTTTTCTGAGCTTCCGGATCGCACGAAATAAATTATCCATTATGTTTGTTACAGAAGTAACATATTCAAATTGAGAAAATATTTTTCAGATATTAGGCGCTTGTGATCATGTTGCGGGTACTCAATTCGAAGAATTTTATCCCTCCAAATTCGCTAGATTTTATGATCGTTGTCCGGTGACCTAAATGTTGGGAGGTAAAAGCGAAAATTCATTCGAGATATGAGGTTATGTTTTTATGACAATATCAATATTCCATATGGAAGCATATAAAGTAGCGCATGAATTCTCCTTCAATGCTCGTATACCACAAAGCTTTTAGATAATTCAGAGGCCCATTTCGTTTTATTTCATGTGGAGTAAAAACCATCGGAGTATCTCTTCCGGAAAACTTAAGGTTCTAATTCTTGGAGTGACAGAGAGGATTATAGGGACATACCTATAATAGTAATTCACGTAACAAGCTCGGAAATTACAGTTTTTTGAACGAGTAGACGAAATTCTGGACCGAGCCGTAGGCGAGTCCTGGAAGTCTGCGAGTCCAATAAAACTGTTTTCGGACGTGATGCGTACCGTATTTCTTTAGCAACCATGTAGAATAACAAATCAATTATTGTATTATATCTCTTTGTAGGATGAAATTTCGAACATTTCAAATCTTATTTTTATCAAATACTGAAATTCGAACAGAATATCTATTGGTACTAACAGCTGCATTGGACATTTTCAAACTCACTATCGCTGATGCTTTCCATAGTTCATGGGGATAATTGCATCAACCATGAAACATGAAAACTTCAAAAAATCGAAATCAATCAAATAGTGTCATGTTTTTGCGTTGCTATGTTGATGATCATCTGCAGTTATCAATACAACAACAATGTGATACTTCCCGACCTAGTCTAAGAAGTTCGTACTTACCTAGTGTTGCCATCTAGACAAGACAAGACAAGAGTTTACCTACTCTTGTCTTGTCTTGAAATTTCAAGACAAGAGTTGTATACGCGTAAGTCTTGATTAAATAAGCTAAGTGCGGTCTTGTCTAGATAACGAAAGTCTAGATTATTATTCAACACTCTAGATAAGACGCTTAGCTTAAATTGCGTAGAAACAGTCAAGTGCATGCAAACTCTCGCTCTCTGGGAACCAATCAAAACAAATCATAGACCCAAGACATAAAATCGAAACCTTTGAACTGACCCGATGGGGTCGTGATTTGCGAGATGGTTCTATTCTAAAATTTCAGGAGTTGTACAAACAAAATTATTATGTTCCACCTCTTAAACAAGCAGATCAAGCTGAAGCTGATGAAGTAATCCAAAATCAACGTTTAACAGCTGATAATGAGAATTTAACTGACTCTGAAGATAACAGTCCACTTGACTTCAATTTTTTATTTGGAAGATCTACCTCTTCTACAGACAATTTTATTGACAACCCAAATTTCTGGAGTAAAGAAATTGATGAGTACCTTTCAAGTAAACGTGCTCCAAGAGAAGAAGATATTCTTGTTTGGTGGCGCAAGCATCAGTTTGCTTATCCAGTATTCCTGCCACATCTGTTCCAGCAGAACGCTTATTTTCTAGAGCTTCGCTTACCATTCGTAAACATAGGAATAGGCTTAATTCCGATTCAGCCAGGTCACTCCTATGTATC